AGCCACACACCCAGCATCTAATCCTCCTTTTCACATCTGCTCAGCGTGTGTTGGCGCCTCCTGTAGACCGACAAGGAGCACGCGTGGCGGTCTGGGCCTTGAGGTTGTGCTCATAAAACTGGTGCTTTCTGATTTAATTACACGCATACTTGGCTTTGAAAGGCCTCTGTGCGTTTCATGCACAAGGAAATATCTTGCAGGTTTAAAGCGAAAAATGCTGCACCACCCACTGCTTTAATCTCCCTTAACCAGACCCCCCAAATCCCACAACAGAGAAGCCATGGCAACACATTGACAAAGCCCTGGTTAGACTCAAGGCGATTTTCTCACCATCTTGCCCTTCAACGTTGAGGTTTAAAATAGACACCGAGGACAGGCCGCAGTGATGCTTCTGCAGCAAAGGGTAGCTGTCGGCAGAGACTGCGGGCAGCTGCTCTGAGGTGGCGTCATTGCAAGAGCCGGGGATAGAAGTGGGCCTGGTAGCGTGAGGGCTGATTTTTCAGGAATTCGCAGAATAAATATTAGTGTGAATGTGGGATAGACGAAACAGTACTTTTAGCCAGAGGGTGCACTGGAAAATTGAAAGAGTCATTTAATCAGCACACCAAGAACAATGCATTATTGTGATGTTCAAACTCATGAGACCTAACTCAAACACTGATTCTGTTACTCAAAAAAGTCGTCGTATCATTTTCTGATTTACATATTTTGTACGTGTTATGTTTTGTTTTATGGTAACCAACTGTGATTTCTTAGGAATTCCTTAAATAGCTGTTTATTAGTCCGTTTTCTTAAGTCTATGGATAAGAGGATTTCAGCCAGATCAATTTTAAGGCCCAGAGCCAGTAAGTTTAATTCTGAAAAATTATATAGATGTGAGAATAAGACTATTTTTCTCAGTTTTGTAGCAATTCCAGTTGGACATTGTTAAGTGTTTATAAAGTAAAAAGGGAGTGATATGTATATTTCATCAGTAAGTGTTTTCTTCTCGGTAAGTTTCTGAATGTGCCAGATTGCTTGCTGTTGCTAAGGCTCTGATTTTATTCTAGGTTAATGTTGGGACATCATTGTTCGAGTGTATGCTGCTCAACTGGCACTGTGTGCTCCCTCCTCTCTCAACACACACTCATTCATTCTTTGAACAAACATCTGTGGATAGACATTCACATCCAATTACCCAGAACTTCTGGGCAAAGTCCCTCCACCTTCTATCTTTTTTTAATTGAATTGTAACTATATATAACATTTGTTTCAAGTGTTCAATGTAATGATTCGGTATTTGTGTACATTGTGAAATGATCACCACAATAAGTCTAGTTAAGTTGCTAAATTTTTTCCTTGTGATGAGAACTTTTAAGATCTACCTTCTTGGGAACTTTCAAATATGCAATACAGTATTACTAATACAGTCACCATGCTGTACATTACATTCCCATGTCTTATTTATTTTATAACTGAAAGTGGGGTCAAGCAAACAGAAATTTTAATCAGCCACTTACTTGCTGTGAGGTAAGGAGTATAAATTCTGAGTCTGTTTCTTCATCTGTTAAATAGTAATGCTGCAATACTTCCTTATCTTAGTGTTATAAATGGATTTCAAAATATTGCAGCCCTAGCCGGTTTGGCTCAGTGGATAGAGCATCGGCCTACGGACCAAAGGGTCCCAGGTTCGGTTCCAGTCAAGGGCATGTACCTTGGTTGCAGGCTCTTCCCTGGCCCGTGCCCTGACTGGGGCTTGTGCAGGGAGCAACCAATTGATGTGTTTTTCTCACATCGATATTTCTCTCTGTCTTTCCTTTCTCTTCCATTCTCTCTAAAATATCAATGGAAAAATGTCCTCAGGTGAGGACTAAAAAATAAAATAAAAAAATATTGCATTTCAAGTACCTAGCACAGAGTGTAGCACAAGACACATGCTCCATGGTGGTGATGGTGATGGTAGTGATGGTGATTCCGGTGATGATGGCCTTAGGCAGAGACCATGGCGGTGTGCTATTCTACTCTCCCGTAGAGACCACTCGGTGAGTATTTAGTAATTCCTGAATAAATCTCCAAAATAAAAGAAACGGAAGACAAGGAAGGGGATAGGATGCTGAAACAGCTCAGACAGGTTAACAAATAGGAGAGGTAGAAGAAAGCGCAACAACCCACAAAATCAGCCTGTGGCCTCTGGCTTCATGGAAATTTCCAACAAGCTTCATCAGGGTGATTTTTCCTGTGAGGCACTGATGACCCTTAACCGGGCTAAGCAAACCTTTGCTCTGCTTTTAAAAACACTGATTCTTGGGGAATTTTGCATGAATTTCAATGAATCATAGAAAACTAATGTATGTGCTGCCCTGGAAACTCATGTTATGATTGAGTTGATTCATAGGCTGACTCTCTAGTTGAAAAAATTAAAGGGTAAAGAATCAGAACTTTTGTAAGTACCTAAAATGTTTACTAAGAACAGCAAAACTAGGATGCAGTGTATTACCAGGTAGGGTCTAAAGAGCCCAGGCACATTCTATCCTGACGTTTCTGAGGCAGAAACTCCAAATGCCATCTAGTCCCAACCACAGAAGACAATCCTTACGAGAATTGTGAAAAGAGAAGTTGAGTCATGCGTTGGAACAAATAATGGTCTTTAAGCCTCCCACAACATCAAGTGATGGAAAGATTTCCGAAGTTGTGCAAATAAAATAATATCAAAGTTCATACTTCCCAAGGTCTTTTTCATGGTGACAAAAAGAAAATCTTGCTGCCCTGGAAAAAAAAAATTCATACTTCCCTTCCTGTAAGTAATAGCTATCTTCATTTATGTGATGGGTTGAAAATCAACATGCGAATTGAAATAAGCTATTCTTTCCATAGCAATGTGTCTGATTTTCATTGACAATTGGGGGGAGAGGGGGTGCAAAGTTCAAAATGTGCTCATTATTTCATTAAAATCAACTGCCCAGTCCCCTCCCTTTCTGATTTTTGTTACCTAAGACAATTCGGCTTTGTTGTTCATAATCCAGATCTCTTTAACCCTGAGCCCTCAGATCCTCCATGTTCTTGTCTGTTACAATGTTTAGTTTCAAATCAAAGCAAAAGCTTTACTTCAGAGTTTTCATTTTATGCTAAGTTTATATGAGGCAATCATATAACATAACCTCCAAAAGGTCAGTATCATCTTGGACTGTATTAAGAGAAGTGCCGTATTCAGAAAGTGAGAGATATGGGCCCATGTTACTTCTGCAAAACAAAACAAACAAAATAACACCACACTTAAAGCATTAAAGTATTATACCTCTTAAAAGATTGTAGGAATTCAACATAAAATGCCAATTTCTCCCATTCTGAGTTCAGAACCAGTTGAAAAATAAGACCCAGGAGACCAATAGAGGTTAAACTGTCAGCTTTATTTATAAACTAATGGGAGAAAATGGCATTTGATCTACGGACCAAAGATGAATACTCTATGCCCACAAGCCCTCCCTGCATTCCCGCACACACCCCCAGAGCCCACTCAGCACCCAGGGGACTTGGGAGCTGTCTGCCCGGGGCAGGGAACACTGGGGAAGGGGAAGCTTACAGTCCTTTGAGAGAGTTGTTTCCCCCAATTCACTCACCTGTCGCCACCTGCCCTCTGCAAGGAGTGTCAGGGGTGGGGCTAGAGGCCAGGAGTCTTATTCCAGTGGAGGTCCTTCAACACGGAAACATTGACCAATGGGGGGGTTTCCTTCCCAACAGTACTCAATTCTAGACCCTTCATTAGATTAACTCAGAGCAGGCTGAGAGCATGACCAGGGCAGTGGGAAACTTTGAAGCCCTGTATAATCACAGTTGCAAGGACAAGATTATATGGAAACCGCTGGGTAGTTGACTTGGTCCTAGACATACATTCTACTTGCCTCCCCCACCATACCTGCTGCATCCTGTTCAGTTATGAGAGGCCATGTGACTAGTTCTGGCCAATGAAATGTGAGCAGAGCTTGTATGTGTCACCTGCAGGCTAAGGCAATGAAAACTTCGTTATTGGTTCTTCAGTCTCCCTTTCCCTCTTCTGCAATGACTGCAGCAGTCTCTACACGGTGTGGAGAAAAGACATATTTCTGTCTGCTGCCCAGTACAGTTACCTGAGTAAGAAATACACTTCTATTGCACGTAAGCTGCTATGTATTCAGGAGTCTATTATTACAACAGTTAACGCTATTTTTTTAAAAATTCTGTATCTGAAACACTCAACCAAACCCACACACACAGACACACATGCACACACACAACACCCCTACACCAGTGGTTCTCAACCTTCCTAATGCCGCGACCTTTTCATACAGTTCCTCATGTTGTGGTGACCCCCAACCATAAAATTATTTTCGTTGCTACTTCATAACTGTAATTTTGCTACTGTTATGAATCGTAATGTAAATATCTGATGTGCAGGATGTATTTTCATTGTTACAAATTGAACATAATTAAAGCATAGTGATTAATCACAAAAACAATATGTAATTATATATGTGTTTTCCGATGGCCTTAGGCGACCCCTGTGAAAGGGTCGTTCAACCCCCAAAGGGGTCTCGACCCACAGGTTGAGAACCGCTGCCCCACACTCAGTCACTCTGCATTGCTCACACCTACTCATATTTTAGGTCTGGGCCTAGATGCATCAGAAGCCATCCCTGAGTCACCCCATCCGGTCTATTTAAGTTGCTCTGACATTCTCTCTCTCTACACACTATTCTTTCCTGTCATTTTACTCATTACCAATTCATAATTACATATTCATGTGTATGTACATTTAAAGTCTGTGGCCACAGTTGAACCATAAAACCCAAGGGGTCAGAACCTTGAGTCCATTGCAATAATAGACAGGGAGCTTGCACGATGCTCGGCAGACAGCCGTCAGTGAATAAATCTGAAAATGCAGAGGATGCACAGATGAGAGGCTGCTATCAAGGGAACACCTTTTTATCATGAGACCACAACTCTAGACCAAAATCACAACAGCATTCAAATACAGACCATGGGCGTGGTGTTGCTTTTTAACCTTTATTCATTTCTAATGCAATTCTGGGTCAATCTACAACCACGAGAGAACCTAAACTTCAAAGGAATGTTAACAGGCAGTAGAGTACAGCAGTATAGCCCCTGTATGTACAAGCAAGACGTCAATTTCCATTCCCTTCAGAAAACCTCTTGCTAACCACGTACATTTTCTTCCCATCAAAAAATGCATTAACAAGATCATGCTTACATATATAGCTAGTCAGCACAAGAGACAAATGACAATTTATACTGAACAATTTAGGTCTTTCAATATAGTGCTCACAACTCCAAGCTGTAGCTATTGACCTTTTCAATGGCATTCATTATGTGACATTGTCACCAATTATATTAAAAGGCATTCATTAATTTTTAAAAGCTAGAATGACTCAAAAAGTTCTGCACTGTAAATAACACATGGAATATTGCAGTTAAGTCTAAGATGGCCAGATCACTTCAATCTTTTCTACAATCTCTTGTATAATATGTGTAGGAAAATGAACGTTATATAAGAAGAAATAGAGCAAGTCATTGTATTTTTACCTCTAAGAGTTTAATTATTTATTTTAAGTAATGTCTATTAATATTTAAATCAACGTTAAAAATTAACTGCACAAACTCTAAAAGAAAATGGCCACGTTACATCAGACTACATTGTACAGAACAAAAGCAGCTAATTAGACCCTTTTTAAAAATTTAAAGTTTCTGACATCATTTTCCACCATTCCATCAATTCTTCCTTTTCCTCCTCTTTCCTTTCAGAAAATGACTCCAGTTCAAAATCAACCTAAAAAAGAAAATCAGGAATATATTGTTATCAAAGTGCATATGTATTTTTAAAAGCTGAAATGAAATTTTTTTTAAAAGAGTAATCTCAGAGCTTTTAGGATAAGCTCAAATTAGCCACTTGAATTAAAGTATACCCTAAAAAATCTCTCATGATAAAAGATACTTGGGGGCTGGGGGAGGAAGACAATCCAAAACCATTACGTTTTAACTGTGTTTTGATCTAATAGCTTTGTAGGATTATTTAAAAGCAGGATATTTAAAGGCAGATTATGTAAAGGCAGTCTTTAGGAAGGACTTTAGTAAAGCCGGGAAAAAGATGTCGTTTATAATTAATTTTCTGCCTTTGACTATTCGGTGCGCTTCTCCTGTCAACCTTGAATTTTCTCCTGCTATGCAGCTCAGTGTCCCGGCATCCCCAACCACAAGGCTCTGCTTTCCAGAATCTCGAAGCTGCTCACTCATTCCCAAACCACCATGGAGGCCAATGGCCCAGGAACTCAACTCTCCTTGGGAACGAGGCGTCCTCGTCAAGTCCATGGAGAATCGAGAGACACAGAGCAAGGGAAGGGGATGTCATCCCTTCCCTCTCCTCAGCCTGGGCCATGGCCGAGGCAGGGGCCGGGCTGAGTGAGACCGTCACTGAGACAATGGTGACTGTTATTACGAAGATTGAATAAAAGCCACTTAACTATGCCTGGCGCACACACAAGTGCTTAATCAATCTCAACCGTTAATACGATGACTTACTCCAACAGCAGGACTGTAGGGAACCGCCACTTTCTTTGTTATCGCCAGATAGCCTGGAGCTGAGGCTGTGAGTTTATAGTTTCCAGGTACAAGCAGCCTCCAGTAATCGCCATCCTTTGCTGTAAGGAAACAAAACGTCAAATCACAAGGCACATACGTGACATGCACAGTAATACCCGCGAAGGAATACCCGGTATACCTCAGTTCAACTCCTTTTGTTCCCATTTCTAAAGCAGTTATTAATGGAATTCGATTAATTTTAACTGCTAGAGGGCATCAGTTCCCATATCAGTTTTACAGATATGAGTGTTAAATTGTCTGATAAATCTCCTAAGATAATCACTCTCCATAATCACATCAGGACTAACACAGATTAAAAAGACATACACAGCCCCCAAGCGGTGGGGTCAGAGCATCTTTCTTATTCTTGCCACGCATCTCTGGGTGAGGACCTAACGGTCGGAGAGTCTAGATCAGTGTTTCCCAAGGTGTGGCCCAAAGGCAGTCTCACCAGAATCCCTGAGGCACTTGGTAGACATTTCGATTTCTAAATCGAGTCTGTTGGTTGGATTGCCTTCTAGGGACTGTATTTTCAGCAAGTTCTCCAGAGATTTCTTGAGCTGAGTTACATGTCCCCCTCTCTCACTCTCCATGTACCCAGAGGTCCCTCCTGACCTGGACTAGCCTCCATGGCCCACCACTAGAATCACTCTCACGCATAGGCCTTCAAGTCATTGCTTTTCCCGCGTGGCGAAACACGCCTGGCAAACTGCCAACCATGGATAACCCCCACCTCTCCCCTCTACACCTGCCCTGTGGGGTGCAAGGAGCTGGAGAAGGCTGATCTAGCTCTGATTCATAAACGCCAACCTTGCACACTAGGTCAGTGCAGATCCCTGGGGGACTTGTCCAGATACAAATTCTAATTCACTAGCTCTGTGGGGAGGCCTCAGATCCTGCATTTCTAACCAGCTCCTGGGAGACGCTGATCCAGCTGCCAGTGGGGGCCACACCTTGAGCAGCTAGGTCCCTGGAACAATTCATACTTAGATATATAGATATATAGATATATATTGTCCAAAAAAGTATATACACACACTTTGAATAATTATAAGGCAGTGTTTTTTGAAATACATCTCATTTTCAAACTTGAGCTATCAGCTGTTAAACTGTGTATACATTTTTGGGACATCTACATATAGGAAGGGAGAAAGAGAGAGAAATGTTGATTTGTTGTGCCACTTATTTATGCATTCATTGATTGATTCTTGTATGTGCCCTGACCAGGGACTGAACCTGCAACCTTGGTGTATCGGGATGGTTCGCCAACCAGCTGAGCTACCCAGGCCAGCACCTCTTCCTAAGAGAAATAAAAAAAGGCACTGGTATTTTAATGCTAGCCGGTTCATTTTCCTTTGCCTCGGGAATAAGAGACTCCAGTGGATGGCACCACCTTGCAGCTCTGCAGTGAGATACCTGAGGAAAGAGCGCCATCTGCTGCACCCCAATTTTTTTAAAATATATTTTATTGGTTTTTTTACAGAGAGGAAGGGAGAGGGATTTAGAGTTAGAAACATCGATGAGAGAGAAACATCGATCAGCTGCCTCCTGCACACTCCCCACTGGGGATGTGCCCGCAACCAAGGTACATGCCCTTGACCAGAATCGAACCTGGGACCCTTGAGTCCGCAGGCCGACGCTCTATCCACTGAGTCAAACCAGTTAGGGCATGCACCCCAATTTTTAAACGCAGCAGCCAGCCTGGGTAACTGCCTGAGTTGCTCCCTTAAGGAAATTTACCTAGATTAAAGCTGAGAGAAGGTAAAGAGGTATGAAGCATTTAGTTATTTTGCTTAGAGCAGCATAAGAATTATAACTATGGTAAGTAATTGGGCTCCTGTATATAATACAAGAACCTCAGATCATGGCAGAGAACACCCACCAGATGTAACATCGTGGTCTATTCCTTCCACTGAGATGGTTGCATTGGCAATTGGTTTACCTTGAAGGTCTCGGACGAACCCTTTAACTCCTCGGTGTACCTGTGAAAGTCAAGAACACCCAGAAAATTCACATTAGAAATGACCTAAAAGTCCATCTCATATCAAGCATCTCCTTATTTTCTAACAAAATACTGTAGGTCCCCAAAACATGCTCAAAAGGCCACTGAATGTTTTGTGTACTCTTTAATCTGCTTTTTCTCAAGTGGGCAAATGAGAAGTAATCCCTCCAAAACTGACATCTTGTTCTGAGTCAAGGAAAGATTTTGCAGTACCTTCTGAACCACCAAAACAAAAAAACAACAAAATGGTATCTTTAAAATAGTTCTGGTCTTAGCAGATTTCATTACTTGCTCTCTGTTTTAAATGTAGTTACCTGTGATTATCTTATATGGTCACTATCAGTTAACAAGACTATTACAACATGAATACTTCTTCATTCTAGATAAAATGATATATACTGCGACTACTTTGGCATCAAACCCATTAACAGTATTGTTTTTGGTTGAAAGCAAGTGGCATGAAAGATCAATGAACTTCATAGCTGAAAACTGTGCTTAGAAATTAAATGGAAGAGCTGTTATTGAGAATAACGCCCTTGAATTAACTTGCAGTCATCAACTAGCTATTGCGATGCAAACTACAAAAACAGCTTTTTTCTTTTTATTTTGTGTTATATTTTGTGTTATATTGCATTTTTAAACGATAATTCAACTAAGTATGTGTTAGAAGTGACAATCACTTCAGGTTTTTGAGAAAGCGCTGCTCCTGGAACATCAAATGTTAGTTCAGTTTCATTACTTAACAAACCTATGTCCCGACCTCCCAAATGCTCAGGCTACTTCTCAATCTGGCCCCAGAAAATGATTTTCCTTTTGCTATTGATGACATTTGAATATTTCCTTACAGAAAGTAGAATAAGCCTCATGTGTCCCTTTATGAACAGAGAAAAAATTTGTCAGTGGTACAATGTTTTATGGAAGAGCTGACCCTGGTTATCAGCAAATGTTTTGTATGTCCTATCAAAAAAAAACCTCTGGAGGCACCATGGTGTGGGGAAGCCCAGATTAAGTCCTAAGGAGGGAGACCACGTGGAGAGGCCGGGTTGACATGAAGATGGAGAGATGTGCAGGAAGCCCTGGCTGCTTCAGCATCCCCACCACCCCAGCTCCAGGCCCCACCTGACTCCACCCACATGAGAGACCCGAGTCAGAACTGCCCAGACATACAACTCATTCCTGGCTCCTCAAAAACCCTGAGTGATAATAAAATGACTGTTACTGTTCCAAGCCACAACCTCTGGGGGTGATTTGTTAGGTAGCAATAGATCATAGGAACCCCCTTTCAATAGAAGAAAAGTGCATTCGGTTAAAATGAAGTTTATACAATTATTATATGTAATAATTAAAAATGTGTTGAAATTGAAAGTTTACATTTTGGTATATGTACTGGTTTCACAAATAGAAATATTCTTACTATGATCTCAAAATAAACAAATAAAAAAACAACCTCTGAAATTCTATAAAAGCAACATGTAATTCTTTTCTCTAAAGGAAATTTAAAAATGGTAAAAAGTTATACATGTTGTTGGTAATAATAAATGCTAATTTTATTGGCAACCACTATAGTGATAAGAGAGTAAATACATTTTTTATAATTATTTTTCTTTAATTTTATTTTTTTATTGATTTCATAGAGGAAGAGAGAGGGAAACATCAATGATGAGAAAGAATCATTGATTGGCTGCCTCCTAAATGCCCCCCACCGGGGATCAAACCCACAACCTGGGCATGTGCCCGGACCAGGAATCGAACCATGACCTCCTGGTTCATAGGCTGACGCTCAACCACTGAGCAACACCAGCCAGGCGAGAGTAAATCCATTAAAAAAACAACAACACACTTTTAGTATCTAGTGAATCGATGATTTTTTTCCCAATACTGAGCTATGAATCAGCTAACCAAAATTAACAGGTTGAAATTTAGTCACTGGAAACATAAAAAGTTGGTTTCTGAGTGACATTCCCATGGTGAAAAAGTCACTGGGGACCAGAAAAACTGTGGCAATGAATTTATGCATCTTGAGGCACTATAATCCTGATATCAGTATTATAAACCTTAGAGAAATGAAAGCTTAAAGTTCATCATTGGAAGGTAAGTCAATCACTTCTAAAACATATAATTCACCTGGATTGGGCCCAAATATATGCAGTTAATAATTGTGACTTGACTTTTTTCAGCTTCTTCAACACAAGACATATTACAGTATGCAGTTTAACAAATAAATAAGCAAATGTCTCTATATGCCAATTGTGAGGCATAACTTTGCTGTTTAAAAAAAATTCACTGTAGGTCTCCCTCATCATTGATGTTTCTATCTCTCCCTCTCCCTTCCTCTCTGAAATCAATAAAAATAAATTTTAAAAAATTCACTGTAGTAATTAAATCTCAATGACAGTGCTAGGGACTGTCACAACCCCACGTGAATGCCAACGGGAAAACCCTGTCACTTCATGGCTTCTGCATAAGAAGTCACAGACGGGAACACTGTCCTCATGACTGCAGAAGCTATTTAGTACACTTGTTCCTTCTATAATACACTCTCCTCAGATACCAGGACATTTCAGTCAATCAAGAAAACAAAACTAAAAAAACAACAACATTCCCCATAGTTGCTGGGTCTGTTGGCATCAGTAGTCATTAACCCTTGTGTACTTAAATGCAATAGAGCTTGTTGAAATGGAAATTTTGGGGGGGAGGGAGGGGTCCTGCCCTGCAGGGAGTATGGTTTGGTGGTGGGACAGGAAATTCATTTTTAACAAGAACCTAGATCAGTGATGGCGAACCTATGACACGCGTGTCAGAGGTGTCACACGAACTCATTTTTTTGGTTGATTTTTCTTTGTTAAATGGCATTTAAATATATAAAATAAATATCAAAAATATAAGTCTTTGTTTTACTATGGTTGCAAATATCAAAAAATTTCTCTATGTGACACAGCACCAGAGTTAAGTTAGGGTTTTTCAAAATGCTGATACACCGGGCTCAAAAGGTTCGCCATCACTGACCTAGATGCTTCTGAAGCACCTGCCCATTAGAAATTCTTTGGGAATTTTGAGAACTAGACTGTTCCAAAGCTAGTGAGTTCAGTTAGCAAACTATCTACCACAAGCATGTCAAACTCACGGCCGGCAGGCCGCATGAATTAAACGCGAATTTGACATGCTTGATCTACCCTAATTAACTGTACAAGTCCAGTTCCTGCAAACATCCCTTTAAAACTCCGCAAGAAATTTCCTCTCAACCAATTATGGAATTAGATCTCCTAATCACCTATTTTCCAGGAGCTGTAAACTAGTTCACACTTAGATTTTAGGCCCAGGTGTTCAAATTATTAATCACCACCATGTTGTTTCATTGTCAAGAAAACTATATCAATACAAAATTTCTGTCAGTCTTCACTAATCGTTCACCAGACTCGGAGTCCCTAACTGGAGTGTTCTAACTGGAGTGTTCTATGAGCTCATTGTAAATGCCACTCCTACTGCTTCCACACAGCTCGCACCCTAACACTGATGCCACTGGTCACGTGAATCTGTGGACCGGTCAAATTCTCATTCCAAGTGGCATACAACAGGACTGCATTCCTGGTCCCTCTTCTTTCCAGATTGTTACTATATAAATTGATGGAGCTTTTAGATGAATTGATGCATGCCCACCTGCAACAATAAATATGACAAAATTTTTCTTCTTTCAGCTCTAACTGGTTTGGCTCAGTGGATAGAGCATTGGCCTGGGGACTCAAGGGTCCCAGGTTCGATTCTGGTCAAGGGCATGTACCTTGGTTGCAGGCACATACCCAATAGGGAGTGTGCAGGAGGCAGCTGATCGATGTTTCTCTCTCATTGATGTTTCTAACTCTCTATCCCTCTCCCTTCCTCTCTGTAAGAAATCAATAAAATAAAAAAAAATTTCTTCTTTCCTAATGGCACATATTTGTGTTTTATTTTGTGTTATACTGCATTTTTCTCAAGAACTAAGAAAGGACTTAAGCAGCAGTTGAATCCATTCTTTAATTATTGATCAGAATAATAATCATATTGGCATCAACTATAATAAATCTTACAGTCTCACTCTGAGAAACCTTTTCTGTGCCCCAGGACTGAGTTAGGGACCTTTCTCTATACTGCCATTGTTCTTTGCATCTCACCTTTATTTTTGCGTTTATCACCCTCGTTTGTAATTGGGTAATCATGTTTCTGAACCTCATTAATAGAAGCCTTCTTCAGGGTAGTCACTAGCCCCAGTGCCTCACAGGAAGCCAAGGATAAAGAAATAGCTCAATAAAGTTTTCTTAAAAAAAATATGTACATGAAATGAAAAGCATTGTATTAAGGAGGCATTCTTTGATACCTAAGTGGAAAGCACAGCAAATAGCCTCATCTTATTTCCTCTAACCCCAAAATACATTTTTCAGTTAAAATGTATTTACTCTCACATCTATTCAAATACAACTCTCTGCAAAGGAGACGTTCTACAAGGGTCCCCACCAAGGTTGTTCTGGGGTCCACGTGGCTAATTATCCTCAGTTTTGCTGTTGAAAATACCTTTTTATGTTAGCATGCAGCAGGATTCCATTGACTGAAAAAACACTTGTTCAGGGTGTTTTTGAACATCACTGTCTGGCAGCAGTGGATCTATTTCATGGTAGTCCCTCTTGGTAAGGCCTCATGTACAGATATTTGATGTATGTAAAAAAAAATTTTAAGCTGACTTTACATTTCTTAAATACATTGGGTTTACATGTACTTGTCTTATGTGTGTGTGTGTATATATATATATATATATACATATATATATATATATGCAAATAGCTACATGTTTATTTAAATAGCATTTATTTATGTCAAATTACTTTAAAATTAGTCTGGACTATCTGCGGGCACCTGAAACTAATGTCACTCCACTTGACTTTGGGTATAAATGGCCACACACAGAATGGAATTTTAAAACTGTTAAGCACTGCAGGCAAGGAAGACTCTTTAGGTCTTTTTCACCATCACTGCTCCTGGTGCCAATGTCTACATAGCAGGGAACTGGCCTAGGTAGGTACTGGATTTTATTCTGACAGATGGTGAGATGCCCCAAAATTCTGTACAGATCCCATTGGAATGGCGACATAAGTGACTCTCTGGCGAAGATCCTGTCATGAGAGGCAATATGGCACAGAGATTCTGGAACTAGAGAGCCTAGCTTCTGGCTGAGTGCATTCAGGCAAGCTGTGTAATCTCTCTGTGCCCTGATTCCTCATCTTTAATTCAGGGATGATGGTGATGAAAAAGAAGAAGATGATGATGATATACGTTCCCTCATAGAGTTGTTGTGAGAATTAAATAAACTGCTACACATAAAGCATTTAGAAGAATGCCTGGGAAATAATAAATCCCCAATTAGTGTAAGGTATCATTACTATTATTACCTACCTTTAGCTGAGTTTAGTGCGAGACAAGTGAGGTATGTGGGGCACAAAATTTAAGGACGCACTCACTCCTACATGCTGATCCCATGCCTGCATGAACTTGAGAGTGAATGCCTCCTTAAATCCTAGATGCCTCACTTACCTCATTCCCGTCTTGGTCCTGCCTGACAGGCCAAAGGTGATCAGGGTGGAGTGTGGGCCTAGGATTGCCCTTGCTTAGAGCAGTATCAATGAAAACAGGGCTTTACCTCACTTCTCCACAACCCTCTAGTTTAATCAATTCTCAGTGAACATTCATGAACCACAAACCCCATAACAAATGAAAGCCTATTTGAACCGCTACTGAGATGTTTTCCAAATGTCATTCTGGTTGGAAGGATTCCCCTAGACTAGGCTCCTCTTAGGAGACAATTGTACACCAGGTTTAAAGGCTCCTACATTTTCCATTTTACACTGGAGACTGTGTTTACCTGCTCAAGGTAGCTAATAAGGGAGTTTTTGTTGTCCTCCCAGTAGGTCTTCAAAGTCTCCTCAGGTGGAAACTTTTCACAGCTAAGCTCCATGGTGATCTCGAAGCAGTTGCTGCTCAGGTAATTGAAGTCTTGCATTCCTGCCAAAACACCAAATGGAAAGTCTCAATACGCAGGTGGTGGCTGAAACTCTACACAGGCTGTTCTGTTGAATTGAGAGCCAAGTAAAAGCTACACCAAGCAGCGCCTTTTGGGGAACTACAAGGAAAATCACCGACCATAAAGGCCAGAACAACATACTTGGGAAATTGTGACCACCTTGGAAGCACACACTCTCTCAGCTTCTTAAGGAATCGTTTAGCTTAACGCCTTGCTGCTGTGAGGTGCTCAAGCAGCAGCCACGTTCCATCTTGCTGGAGTGGGCGTCAAAGAAGACCACAGGGGAGTGACATCGTCAAAATGGCAAAATAGGAGTTTTCTGCGGCCTTCCCTCCCCCAAGAACACCAATTTTGACCATCACCCATGAATAGAGTGCCCTTGTGGAAGTCCAAGAGTCACTGAAAAGGTTCCGGCATGCCACTGGAGCAAACATAAAATCCAAGAGTGGACGCACTGAAGAAGGTCAAAGGAACAGTGTCACCTTCCCTGCATCACCCCTTCTCCAAGGTGGCACAGCTCAGTGCCAGAGTAACATAAAAACATTCAACACTACACAACACACTGGTAGAGGTGAGTATTCAGAATACGCTAATACTGTAACATGGCAGTGTGTTAATCACTTCACTCTAGTTTAAAGGTTAAAGGATAAAAATATTAAAAATACCTATAGCTGCAATAAGGTGGCATAGGTAAGTCCTTACCTGTAAATACTTCCCTTAAAGGCAAATAGATTGAATTCTCCAGTCAAAGGCATAGAGTGGCCAAATGGGAGCAGGGGCCTCAGAAAAGGAAGAACGGCCTGGGCCAGCACTTCCATCTGGCAGAAAGCTGCCTCCACCCCAGCTCTTGCCCTGATGCCAGACAATGAAGTTCCTCCCGTACGTCCCTGGTTCCTTTCAGACTGCGGCACCAGCGCTAGAGCTCAGAGGGAGGGAGTCCCACTAAGTCCATGTGCAGGCCCTTTAAGAGGAATGCCTGGGACTCCAGCAGACTTCTTCCTACTCAGCCACAATCCCCACCGGTTTTCACAGCCAGAAGTTATAAGGACTTCTCCTCCTGGCTCTGGAACTCTGGGCCAGGAGGCCTGGTGTGGCGCTGGGACCCCTCGCTCCTCAGGGGAGACCTCCGCAGCTGAGATATCCCTCCCAATTTTTACCCGCCGCACATGGGTGAAGGATCAGCCCCATTCTATGTCTCTGTCCCTCCTGCCAGTCTCAATGTGGCTTTTTTCTTTTCTTTACTGATTTAAGAGAGAGACATCGATTTGTTGTTCCACTTATTTATGCACGCACTGATTAATTCTTGTATGTGCCCTGACCAGGGACAAAACCTAGAACCTTGAGGTATAGGATCGACTCCCTAATCAAATGAGCTAATGCGCCAGGGCCTGTGGCTTCTTTAAATCCTTAGTTGTAGGTTTTCCATTCAACTAGATTTCAAGTTGTTCTGAATGATGGTGTTCAGTAGTTTAGGTGTAATTTTGATGCCTCTCTCTTTTTTTGTTAACTAGTAATACTCCACTTTCAACAATGGAAAGATGATAGATAGATAGATAGATAGATAGATAGATCACCCAGACGGAAAATCAATAAGAAAACACTGGCTTCCAACTATACTTGAGATCACATAAACCTAACAGATACATACAGAACATACCATCCAACAGCAGGTGGCAGAATACACATTCTTCTCAAACACACATGGAACAGTCTCCAGAACAGATCATATGATGAGTCACAAAACAAGTCTTAGCAAACTAAGGAGACTGAAATCATAGCAAATATCTTTTATGAACACAATGGTATGAAATTAGAAATCATGACAGGAGGAAAACTGGAAAATTAACAAATACGTAGAAAAGTAAACATACTCCTAAACCACCAATGGGTCAAAGAGGAAATCAAAAGAAAAACCAAATATCTTGAACAAATTGAAAGGAGTTTTTTGGGGTAAAAAAGGCAGGTTTAGGGATTTTTAGGAATTAGAGGGTCCATGGGGAAGAACCACAGGGCTGCAAAGCTGGGAGCTGCTGAATGGTATACATTCACAGAATAAGGGAACTTCCAAAAGGTAGACATTCACAGAATAAAGGAGAGGAAGCCACCAATTCACAGAATAAAGAAGAAGGCCACAGGGAGTAGAAAAAATAAAAGGAAGGAAAAGAGGTGAACCCCGCATGGGGTTTGAGCTCTGAAGCTGCTATAATGATCAATCAGAGGGGATACCAAACACAAACACAGACTCCCCCTCCCCATGTGGGAGACTGTGCTTGTTTCTCAATCAATTTCCACCTTTTCCTATACCACCTTTGGCCGTGGCTTCATTCTTAGAATCCACCTGGACAAGGACCCGGGAAATCACCTTTGCATCCTGCCCAGAGGAAAAACCACGCGTTCCAGTTTAAGATCCGCGTTTCAAAATGAAAATAGAAACACAACATACCAAAAGTTATGGGATGAAGCAAAACAGTCAGTCCTAAGAGAGAAGTTTATTTTGATAAGTATCTACATTAAGAAAAAAATCACATAATCAATGACTCACAGATACGGAGCCACCAAATGCAGGTCCCCTGGCTTCGAGGCAGGATACCTGCCTGTGACCTATGCTTGAGGCCTTCCTCCCAATGGCTCAGGCCAAGGTGACACTGTACCTGAGACCACATCCTTGTTCAGCTCTGTCTCCTTCCCTACCCTGCTTCCCTCATTTCCAACAGGGTTTTTCCTAAAAAGCAGCCCCTCAACAAATTATGAGTATCCAAATCCCTGTCTCAGGTTTTGCTTCTAGAAAACCTGATCTGAGACACTGATTTTATTCACTTCATAGATTGCTAAAGAAAGTCACATCTTTCTTTGACTCTTTGATTATTGTGGGACATAATCGACTATTATTACAATTCTTATTATTACTATTTCTAGAGGCACAGTGCATGGGATTTGTGCACTGGTGGGGGGCGTGGCCTGCGGGGATCGGCCCGCTATAGGAGTGCTGCTCATCCTGGTCAGCCAGGTGGCTGTGGACCCGCCCTCTGAGTGGCTGCTCCCTGGTCCAGCATCTTCCATGTAGCCGGAGCACTCGCCTCTCCAGGGGACCCAGTAGGGGCCAGACCCAGGGACAACAGCACTGAGAGGTGGCGGAGTAGACCTCAGTCCCGCACACCTGCCAGCCTCCGAGGTCAGCTCTGCGAGCCTGGGGCAGTGCTGCATGGCCTGTAGGCATCCAGAGAAGGCAGTAGGGAGCGAGGAGGAGGAGCCTGGGGCAAGGAGGCAACAATCACAGCCCGGGGTTCCTGCCCATTGGCTCGGGGTTCACAGCAGGAGTGGCCACTCATCCCGGTCAGCCAAGCGGCGCTCCTACTGTGGTAGCGCACTGACCACCAGGGGGCAGCTCCTGCGTTGAGCATCTGCCCCCTGGTGGTCAGTGCGCGTGCGTCATAGTGACTGGTCGACCAGTTGTTCTGGTCATTCCACCATTCGGTCATTGGGCTTTTATTATATTGGATTGTTACTTTACTGATCTAGATTACTTGGCATTTTGTAGACAATGCACTATTTGTCTAAAAAGGTCATTCCAAAGGAATTACTAAAGTTTTTATAAAAACCAAAATATAAAATTACTTCCCATTGGATGTATTTGACATAGTCTAAATCCTAAAATCTGACAGAGACCTTATTTCCCAAGCCATATGGGGGAAATGTGCTAAATGTGATCTGACCTGGTGCAAAATATTAATTACAACAGGGTAAACATATATCAGAGAGAAAAAAATCAGGAAGGATATTTTTCTCAGGGCACAATTCAATAAAAGAAGCAAAACAAAATCCTTTAATTAGGTAGCGCTGCTACTATGCTAATTAATTATCTTACTCATTTCCAGGTGGGCTATAGAATATTGTTCTTAGGCAAAGAGAAAAACAAAACATATCAGTGTCTTCACATTTCACTCATCCTTGGTAGAGGCAAGTATTACACAACTGTGATTGGGCTGAGGAGCCAGAAAAATGAGATCTCTGCAAAGTCCATGTTAGGGCAAAGGGAGCCACGAGAGCTCATTGGTTTTCTAGAAGATGGGCCCTCCAGTATGTGGGCTTTTCCCCTTTTCAGACCACATAAAAGGTGAAGAGCTTCCTGATCCAATAGTGGTTATAACAGTAGTGATTATACAATGAATATCCCACATCAAGTAGTCTCCATTATCCCATCACTAAAATAAAATTTAAAGAAAGTGTGTGGACCAACATATACCAAAGGTCAAAGCCTGCCCTCTAAAATATACATTTGCCTATAGTCAAAGCATGACTACCACATAATCAGGATGCTGTCTTATTCCTTAAGCTCAGAATTTCAGAAGTAGGGTAATTAATAATATTCAATTTATATTTTCCCAATGGACAGTTTCAGTTCATTCCCCATATCTCTTCAATTAGCATATCGATTTTAAAAACAAAACTATACATAGCAATTATTGATGAAGAAAACTAATTTTAATGCGTGAATTATAGATTCAATCTACTTCTTAGTGACTGAGAAGGATTGGAGATTCTCTAAATCCAAACGGGAATTATGCATAAGCCACTAGCACATAATCAAAGAGGGAAATGGACACTCACCACCGGGTACGCTGTACCAAGCCGCACCATTGGTCGTTCCATCTACAAAGCTGCTGTCATCATCGTTCTTGCGACATGGTGGCCGATTGGGGTCCGACATGGACGGGTTAAAAGAGGAGTATGCCCTCGCCAAGCTTTGGAAAATGGCATCATCTGGGCAAGAACTATATTCATGAGCGCTCCCTAGAAAATAAATGCACAAGATTAAAGAAATGGACACAGACCAAGAGCACTGCATGTTTTCCAAAGTGTGAGTCAGTATTGACCTCTTGCCCGATGTATTTTTTTAGCCACAGCACTATGGGAAAGAAATGAAGGCTTAAGTGTCAGCAATGACACCTAGCTTTTAGGTTATATAACTTCCACTGCTAATACCCCACAGTAAAAAATCTGATGGAATGTCCCTTCTGCGTATGAATTCAAAGCTTCACAAGAAAAGGTGGTCAGCTTACAGTAAACTGGACCTGGCCGAACACTCAAGGAGATTTCTATTGTTAAAATTTTTAATTTAAAAAATGTACTTGTTAAGTTGGCAGTTATAAAACAGTCACCGGCATGTGAAGTACAGCATAGGGAACAGTATTGTAATAACTATGCATGGTGTCAGGTGGGTACTAGACTTATCGGGGTGATGACTTTGTAAGTTACATAATGTCTAATCAATGGAAACTAATATAATATTATATATCAACTGTAATGGAAAATGTTTTTTATTTTTTTAATGCACTTGTACTAACCTCATAGCCACTATAAACCACCCTCATACTTTTCAGTATCTGAGTTTAGAGTTTAAAAAAAAATCTCCCATGTGTATTATAAAAATCGTATTTTTAACACACTGTATTGTGATCCATGTATCATAAAATATGTCAGGCTTTGACATTTCCTAGCTAATGACATAATACAAAAATCTCTAAATTTTAACGATGTTGTACCAAAGACTTTCTTCAAAACTCAGTTTCCAATCTCTAAAATGATCATCCTGTGTTCACAAAGAGCTAACTCTTCAAAGGGCCCTAAGAATCGACCCAAAGCAGGAAATTTCCTGGAGCAACAAAAATTAAGGTGAAAATATCTATCTGGCTAAAGCTTGCTGTGCCTGAAACTTAACGAAAACATGTCAGAGAGAAATGAAAGCACCACTTTCCCTCCCTGACAAAACCACAAACAGTTCCAAATGCAAAAGCGTGAGAGGTCGATGAGACACGTGGAGTTCCACATGGTCAAGCACCAAAACCCTGCCTCCACTGGTGAGCCATCGTGTCCACAGAGCTATGTAACACCCATAACTTCTCCAGGGTACCAGTGTCCCAGAGTGACCCAAGTTCATGGCTCCTGTTTTCCTCCTTTCTCTCATCTGAGTGTTCTGTCAAGATTACATTTCTCTTCACCTACACTTCTTTTTAAAGTTGCATCCTTTTCTGTCAAATATATACTGAGTGGCCAGATTATTATGACCACCCCATCAGTACAATGAAGTGAATTAGTTATGCAAATAATAATTAATAATAATAAAACCTTGAGAGTATTTGCTTCGGAAGTTTTCAATATTCAGTATTTTTGGAAGTGTCAATGAAGTACTGATTGGGGTGGTCATAATAATCTGGCCGGTCATAATAATTTAGCCACTCAGTGTATACGGTCAATGCCATGTGAAATAGTTAGGGGGTGTTCCTGATAAACATATGTATTTCTACAGGCAAAATCACTTAATGACCAGTTCCTTACAAGAATATTATAAAAGTCATCTTCCAAAGCCTTGCAAAGTAATTGTAAACCTTGAACCAAGTAGAGAAGCGGAAAGAACACCTACCACTCCGAGTCTCATCATAGGGGTAATTGGCCACAAGGTCTCCTCCGTGGAGATTGGCAGAGAGCACAAAAGGAATATCCATAATCCAGTGGATGACAGCCTTGGTCTCGGGAGCAAGCTGTATTAAACGTCAGAGATTAAAAGGGTTATAAATTGGTAATCACTGGTGAGATCGCTTGACAGAAAAGATATAGGAGAGAATCGAAGATGGCGGCGTAGGTAAACACCGGAGACCGCCGCCGTAAACAACCACTTCAAAAATACAGCTAAAGGTCGGAACGGACATCAACCAGAACCACAGGAAGGCTGGCTGAGGAGGGACTCTTCAGCTAGAAGCAAAAACAACAGCAGTCCGACGCACAGAGGAGGCGCAGTGTGGAAAATTTAAAGGTACGGTGGTGAGGTGGTGCGCGCGCAAAGCGGGCTGGGGGCTGAGGGCGCGGTTGTCGTTTTCACTCAGGAGTGAGTCTCAGACTCTGGGCTACAGTTCCGGGCGAGTCTCTAGGGACCCTGACTCAAACGGGAGAAGCGGGACTGTCTGGCTACGGCCCCTCCGAGGTTTGCAGCGATTGCTGGGACAGAGAGGCAGAGCCCTTGGGGACGGACTGAGAGCGCCCATAGCTGCTCCCTCCCCCCGCCCTGTTGAGCCCGCCCCGCCCAGGCACTGCGCACAGACATTTGCCGATCGCCTCAGGCAAGGGCAGGACTAGCGCCTCCCCAGAATCCTACAGCCAGTAGGTCTGCTGGTCAAATCCCTCTAGTGTTAACTACAACAATTAAGGCTTGGCTAGAACAAGACTGCGCACAGAGACCACAAGGGGGTGCACCAAGAAAGCATAAAAGATGCGGAGACAAAAAAGCATGACAGAAATGGAGGATATGGAGCTAAGAATCGCAATTTTGAGGGCTTGCCATAAATTTGTGCAGAGCCTCACGAAAACTAATGAGACCCTCGATGCTACGATAAAGAAATTAGAAAGTAAGCATACACGGACTGAAATAAAGAATATTATACCCAATAGCAGACCAGACGAGCAAAAGAATCAAACCAAAGATTCGACAAAAAACACCCAATTGGAAAACCAAAATGAAAAAAGAATCCGAAAGTGTGAAGATAGTATAAGGAGCTCTGGGACAGCTTTAAGCGGCCTAATATCAGAATTATTGGAGTTCCAGAAGATGAGAGACAGCAAGATATTGAAAACCTATTTCAAGAAATAATGGCAGAAAACTTCCCCCATCTGGAGAAAGAAATGGACTTACAGGTCCAAGAAGCACAGAGAACCCCAAACAAAAGGAATCCAAAGAGGACCACACCAAGACACATCATCATTAAAATGCCAAGAGCAAAAGACAAAGAGAAAATCTTAAAAGCAGCAAGAGAAAGAGGCTCAATTACCTACAAGGGAATACCCATACGACTGTCAGCTGATTTCTCAACAGAAACTTTGCAGGCCAGAAGGGAATGGCAAGAAATATTCCAAGTGCTGAATACCAAGAACCTACAACCAAGATTACTTTATCCAGCAAAGCTATCATTCAGAATTGAAGGTCAGATAAAGAGCTTCACAGATAAGGAAAAGCTAAAGGAGTTCATCACCGCCAAACCAGTATTATATGAAATGCTGAAAGGTATCCTTTAAGAAGAGGAAGAAGAAGAAAAAGGTAAAGATACAAATAATGAACAACAAATATGCATCTATCAACAAATGAATCTAAGAATCAAGTGAATAAATAACCTGATGTACAGAATGAACTGGTGATTATAATAGAATCAGGGACATAGAAAGGGAATAGACTGACTATTCTTGGGGGGAAAAGGGGTGTGGGAGATGCGGGAAGTGACTGGACAAAAATCATGCACCTATGGATGAACACAGTGGGTGGGGAGTGAGGGTGGAGGGTGGGGTGGGAGCTGGAAGGAGGGGAGTTATGGGGGGAAAAAAGAGGAACAAATGTAATAATCTGAACAATAAAGATTTAAAAAAAAAAAAAAAAAAAGATATAGGAAAGGTTTTAAGAAACGCCCAAAAGCTGGTCAACCACTTTGGGGTTGTTTTCATAGAAAAGAAAAAAAGTTCTTGTATGAACAGCATCCCCATCTCTATTTTTCTCGGACTTTTTTTACAACAAAAAATATTTTAGTAGTGTTTCAATTTCCTCACAAGTTCTACTTTTCTGGGCTGCCAGCTTTTTTCTCTTTGAAAACAAGCATGCAGGTCACTTATAAATTTTGGAATCTGTCCATTTGATGTTTCAGTGTTAATAATAGCTAAGGAAAGACAAAGAGAAAATAGTTGAACCCTGTTAAAGAGAAAACCACAGGCCCAATGAGGCATCATTTAAAGCCTATGATACCAAACCTAGACTTAATACCTCACCTATTGCTATTTCAGCCTCTCCCAGAAATATAGTCTTAATCAACCAACCAGTCTGGAATTTTCTGGCCAAGCACCGGAAAGGTTATTTGCACAGGGGCCCTCTCCAGTATGCAAAGAAAGAAGCAGCAGCAATTTGCATGATAAAAACCCTTGCTGTTCCCTTTGCCCCAAAAGTAATCTAGACCTTTTTTTTTTTCTTTTGTTAACAGCTCCCTTGCCCCACTCTTCTTCCCATTAAAAACTTTCCATTTTGTACAACCCCTGGAGCACCCTTCCACTGGCTACATGGGATGCTGCCTGATTCATGTCCTGCTTAATAATAACGCCGATTAGATCTTCAAATTTACTCGGTTGAATTTTGTGTTTTAATACCACAGAACAGAGTTCTTTCTCTATGGTGGTTCAACTCCTGAAAGTGGTAGATTTTATTTCCTAGTTTTGCTTACTATTGTTCTAATCCTCTTCCAATTACTTTAAACATATAAAAAATATTAGGCTGGGTCTCTTTCAGAGCTCACTGTAAAATATCAATTTACTTTGAAATGACCCTCTTAAATTTTAAAACAAAGGCAAACGTTTTAGGACTTCATGTTGTCTTTTCAAGGATGCACAATCTTTCATATCTTGAAAACAAGACAAAGGGGGAAAGAAATTTTTATCAAAGAATTAATCTGGAGCCAAAAACTTGATATTTTTATGTGATGCGTTTTTAACAGCACCTAGGAAGACTCTCAAATTCCAAAGTACTTCTTTGATTTAAAAAATAATAAAATCAAAGCTTTACTGGCATATTTCTATATATATTTTTAGGATGATAGATGCATTAAAAATAATCTTAAAGGATACATACCCAAAGGTAAATGGTGATCATTTAAGACTAAGAGGTTATTTTCTCCTTGTTTATATTTGCTTTAGCTTTTTGTTTGTAATAAAATATTAATTTTATATAAAAATCACTTTAAAGAAACTGTGTTTTGAGACAAATCCTGAATACATAAAGTCATGTGTGGCTATTAGGTTTGGCCTATTGTTAGTTCTTATATATACACTAGAGGCTCAATGCACAAAATTCGTGCAAGGGGCTCGGCCCTCCTCTGCCTCTGCCGCTGCCCGCTGTGGCTGCCAGGGCCTCTGCCGCCTCTGCCTCGCCCCCCACAGCCCCCCTCCCTCTGCAGCGGGTTCGTCCTGAAGGTCATCTGGAAGGACATCTGGTCTAATTAGCATATTACGCTTTTATTATTATAGATTGCTGCTAATACACACATTATCGGTATGCTCAAAACTAGCAAGTGAATTCCACGATTTGACAAATTAAACTACTTTTCTCTTTGAATATTAATAGAGTCTTTCAGGCGGACTGAGTGCTGAGACCCCCCCAGGTGCTGTAATTATGCATTTAAGTGATCCATAAAGAAGCTTCTGGTGCTTCCCATGATCGAGCCCTTAATACAACCTAGGACCAATTGGGACCTATTTTTAACGCTTCCATTTAAAGACTGTAAATATAGCTCAAATGTTATGCTCTACAATTAGACGGCGTTGGCTCTTAAAAAATATTAAAGCTATATTTATTCTGTTTCCTCCACAACGTTAGCCATTAAAGACAAGTATAAATTGAATAAAACTATTTTATTTACTTTAAGCCACTTTGTTTTAAGTAATTCAGGCCCAGCTCATGTGCTGAGGGAGCCCAGATGGCAGTGGAGGTGACCTGGCTGAAGGGCCCGAGAGCAGATGAGAAATGACTTAGTGGGAAGAACTCCAGGAGAACAAGAGAGAGCCTTTATTCAGAGGTCCAGGAGGGCCAGGAGAGCATCTGAACCACCTGGGGGAAACATAGGTTCCTTTCCATCACCCACCCCTGCAGCATCCACACCTGAGTCCTCCTCAGTGGGACTCCACAGGAACCTGCATTTTTGACCCCTGATTCCTAGCACCCCAAACGTAAATAAACCTTGAGATTTAAAAACCACAGTAATCACTTCCCCTAATGAGGGAAGCGGGAAGGGAGGATGTATGATAACATTAATGAGCTGTTTACCATGCCTAGTACCAGGCTGGGTCTAACCCAGCCGTGGGCAAACTACGGCCCGCGGGCCGGATCCGGCCCGTTTGAAATGAATAAAACTAAAAAAAAAAGACCGTACCCTTTTATGTAATGATGTTTACTTTGAATTTATATTAGGTCACACAAACACTCCATCCATGCTTTTGTTCTGGCCCTCCGGTCCAGTTTAAGAACCCATTGTGGCCCTCGAGTCAAAAAGTTTGCCCACCCCTGGTCTAACCGCTATCTCAGTCTTAGTAACAAAGATGGAAAAAGAAGATGAACCAATATGGTCTGAAGAGTCCATGTAATGTAAATAAATCATGTTTCTGTTCTAGACAAGAGGCTAAACTTAATTTTTATATTTCTCTTTAATTTACCCTTACCAAGTACTGGCATTGAGATTTTCAATATAAAACCTTTAATATTTTAAAAGCACCATGAACATGCATCTTTTAAATAAGTATTGCTTCAGCTAGAAATATGAAAAGAAAAAAGAACACCTAATGTAGAGACTGTGTAAGTCTGACATAGATTTGGATGGAGAAGAGGGAGGCAGTGCTGGCTGAATAATAACAGCACTTACACAAATGTCCTGTCAACATGAGTTTATGTCATGATTCTTCTATGGTAAGTGACAGGAATTATTCTTCTCATTTCTCAGATTTAACAACGACAGTGTCAGCAGGTTAATGCAAGCCATGCGGAGAGTCTGTGGGCAGATACCAGCACTGGGCTTCCACGAAGTGTTTCATTTCTGTCTAAGCCTCATAGCTCATCGCACAGGCATGCCCTCTTTTCACCTCTGGTTACCTCAGCTGCACCCAGCCCTCTGCCTTTCCAGCTCCTCCTTCTCCCCCCAACATGGTTCAGGGGCTGAGAAACTGCAACTGTATCTGTGACTCAGAAGCAGGAATGTTTCAGTCGCTCAGAATGTAGCAGGTGCTGCCAGAATCCTCAGCCGAAAGCAGTCCGATTCCCAGGCCAGTCTCCTGACCTGTAAGCTCAGCCCAGGTTTCTGGAATAAATCCTAAACACGGCAGGAGTTTCAGGAATTTCAGACCAACAATCTGGAACTGCCTCTCTCTGGGTCCTCCACCCAGTGTCCCACCCACACATGAAGGCTTGTCTGGAACTCCAGCTGTGGGTTTTCAGCAGCCACACTTTACAGATACTGTGATTTGCTTGCCAGGTTGGATTGCATTCGTTCCTAACAGGCCCTCAGCCTACTCTGTGTCAGACTCAAAAATGAATCCTAATTCCTGCAATCCAAGGATCGAAATCTAGAATCAAAAGGAAAAACAACTATATAAACAAAAATTTATAACATAACATACATAATAAAGCTGTCTGTAACATTAGCACCATACCAGAAGCATGTGTACACAAAGAACGTAAAGGGAGGCTTAACAGGATCTGTCAGGAATAGCAGAGGCAGGCTTCCCAGAGAAAGTGACATGGGAGCAAAAGAGGAGCATTCTAGACCACCGGAACACATCTATATATATAAAAACCTAAGCAACCATTTGACTGGTATCTATGATGCACACTGACCACCAGAGGGCAGATGCTCAACGCACAGGCATGGAAACATGGAACAGACTGATGAATCTCAGAGGAAGGGGGGAGGGGGAGGCCAGGAAGAGATTAACTAAAGATCTTATATGCATACTAGAGGCCCAGTGCATGGGGTCCCTCAGCCTCCGACATCTCCCGAGGGGTCCTAGATTGTGAGGGCACAGGCCAGGCTGAGGGACCCCACCAGTGCACGAATTCGTGCACTGGGCCTCTAGTACAAAGACATAAAAGTATTAGAAAAGCATATGCTTAGGGAGCAAAAAGGAGTTGGTGGACTGAAGTACATGGTATATCAGAGCCAGATTAACGAGTGCATCTGCCGGCAGCTGTCAGAGGCCGAGGAAACCCCAACGGCCCTGGAACGATGAGAAAATGGGGAAACTGTAATCCCCAGTTCTCACTTAGGAAAGGTACTGGAGCAGTTGCTAAGCCAGCGTCGAACTGCCTGGAATAATGGGAGGGGAACTGAGAGCTGCCAATAGCACTTCTCGCCTTTCCTGCAAGATGCTCTCCCTCTCCCCCAAGTAACTGAAAACAATGTTCAAACAATTTGGTTTGTAGAAGCACCAAATGTTTAGTGGATGTCAATGTGTCCATCTAAGCCTGAGGTATGTATCAGGGAGCGCTGAGAAATTATGGCAAAATGGTATTAATAGTCTAGGTCCCAGCCTCACATGTTGTATATGTAGTAACTCGCTCAATCTTTATAACCACCCTATGATGTAGATACTATTAACATCTCCATATTTCAGATGAAGAAGTGGAAGCACATAGTTTTTAAATAACTGTCCCAAACCCACACAGCAAGTATGGAGCCAGGACTGAACCAAGGTGGCTGCCAGCGGAGTCTCCATGCTAAACCATCACACAGTTCTGCTGTTTTGAGCTTTTACTTTATCTCTGGGCAGTGGAGAGCTGGCAAGGTTTTTTAAGACATCGAGCAACAATCTGTGTGTGAAGACCATCATTCTGGAAGATTCCAAGAAAACTGAGTGGAGTAGGGAGAGGCTGAACCCAAAGCAAGAATGCGTGGCTACTATATCATCAGAGCAAATGATGGGGGTCTGACCAGGGCAGTGGAGAGAATTTGCAGAGAGGAAGACTGGACAGGTGTTAGGGAGGCTAACTTACTGAAATTTGGTAACTAATAGCTGGTGAGTGCTGATGGCCATTTTAAAAAAAGAAGTCTTTGATTATGATGGTTAAATGAGAGAATAGCGTTTTCTTAGGGAAAATATTCGGTTTGGGTCAGGCTGAGCAGGAGGCTCTGGGTGCCACCAGACAAAAACACTCCACAGCAAGTACAATTGAGAAACAGAGCTCATGTGAGTTGGAGTGACACATATGGGTCTGGGGGACACAGAAGGCACAGAAACCAGGGAAAGATATATGGGTTGTAGATGGGACCCTGAAAGCCAGCATCTAAGCTAAGGTAGAAGAAGCAGAGAAAGAAACCCAACAGTGAACTGAAAGGCAGTAGAAGAGGTAGGAGAAAGTGGAGTTGTGCAAAACAAAAGAGAATAAAATTCTGGAAAAGAAGAAAGGTCAACAGTGTGAATAAAAAGCTGCAGGAGGAGCCAATCAGATGTTCTGATAAGCACCTCTGAAAGGGCCATGACGACTTTCTAACACACTCACTACTGGGTTCCACTCTCCTATCCTCACGCCTCACTCCCCACCCCCCAGCTACCTTGCCAGATTCTAGGGGCAAAACTGGTACCAAGACTCCAGTCTTCACAGCCTTGACTTTGGCAGCACAGTTAACCATCCCATAGAAGGTTTGACATTACACCAACATCCTTCATTATGATGAGGATATTTGAACATATTTAATTAGGCCAGACAACAGAACCCAAGAAAAGTATACATGTTCTCTACCTTTGCGTTTTGATCCACAATTTTCTTCAGATTTTTCAACAGATGATTATTGGGACCACCTTCCTTCTCATTAATATAAACTATCCTATCCAGGTCGGGAAAGTTCCTGTTCAGATCTATTCCCTGGGCATTGCTTCGACCCACAAACCAGTCCTTGAGTTCACCAGGCTAAAAAAATCAAAGAGAAAAATCATCAGTTATTTACTATTATTGTTGCTATGTATTTAAGGTCTCCATTAATGATTTATTGAGATTAATTATTTATTTCAACAATATCCTCCCATAATGGCATTTTCACTATTTTACTGATATAAACATGAAGAAATCAGGTTTAAAATAATTGTTATGGCTATTTTGAAAATATTTTCAATAAATATTTTAAACATTAACAATAATAATAGCATTTAAAAGGTATTTATCATCAAATTGCAAAAAAGTTAATATATATTAGCTGGTAATAGATGACATGTGTTTCAAATCATACCACTCTATATTAAGGTTTAAATAAAATATTTATTGCCTCTATAAGAACAACCTATTTTTAAATATTCAAAAGAATAAATTACTAAATAAGATGAGAACTTAAAATGAGTTTAACATTAGTTATTTATATATTAATAATATGCTTCCCTCTTATAGTCTTCATGAAAAGAACATGAGCTCTAGAACAAAAGTTCTAGAGCCTTATTAGTTGGAGAAATTTCTGTTCAACTTTAAGGCCTTCATTTCACTAATGGTATAACCTGGAAATTTAATGAATTTCTAAGATATTCAGTTCTATTCCATAATGTAGATTTTTTTCACTATTAAATTATATCAAATCTCTGCGATAGATAATTTCCATATTCCTGAGGTCATGTAAGCTCAGATACCTTAGACCAGTGGTCGGCAAACACTGCCTTAGACTATGAGAAATAAAAATATTTAAGATAGAAAATAACTTGATCATATTTAGTCCATTCTGTCTCACAGTTCTGAATATCACCTTAAAATATTAGATGATTTAATTCTCTATGTTACTAGAATTCTTCTCTCATAACTTTAGAAATTATATATCATTGTTATACTTATTTACAGAAATTCACTGTCTGGGTTTCTTATGTCAGGTCACTGGATCATTTCTTTTTAAGCTACAAATTGACTTCTTAACTTTAGCTAAACATAGCAAATATATATTTTAATATGTTCTCATATATAAGAGAATTATCTCAAAGTGTAGAAAACAGCAAATATAATGTCCCTTTCCAAAAAAAAGAGAACACTTACCATATATCTTCTCTTAATACACCATTACTTTCCAGTTTCTCAAACAGTTAAAAAAAATTTAATTAATTTTAAAGGTAGGAAGAGTTTTAGAGGTAGGAGGGGTTTGTTTTGTTTTGTTTTGTTTTGTTTTACTTTACTCATTATAGATAGACACTGATAAAACATCAGTGAACCATTTCTCTGGCCAAAAATATATTTCTTCTTTGTTTTCAGTAGAGGGCGCAATGATATCAATTTATTCAGACACAGCAACTGATGTGTTGTAAGAATTTTTAAAACATGCAATACCTGACTATTTAATCAGGTGCACTAACCTCTTTTCCAAGGCTTAGATTGCCAAATTTAAAAAAATGAGAACAGCCAACATAACAATTGCCCTCTAGTGTGAATGAATCAAAATTATACCTATTTTTTGTCAGATCAACAAAAAATATATTTTCTGGTGTGCAACAGAATTTTAGTGATTAGTTTATGTGTGCCATGAGATAAAAAAGATTGAAAATCACTGAGATACAGCGGTGCTATCATTCTCCAATACAGAGCAGTAGGTATTTTCATGCTTGTAGAGTTGTGTTTTTTTTTTTTTACTTATTTTTTTACTTGTAGAGGTTTAGAAGGAAACTGACCTAGTCACAAACATGGATGAGTAGCTATGATTTCTTTAACAACACAAACAAAACAATGATTAAATACTGATTTCTCATTCGCAATCTCTGCTGAAGAAACTCTTACCCATCATCTCTTACCTTCTGAATTTTTTCCTTACCAGTAAAACATATGACTTGTACCCTCCTACTGCACGGTGTGTAAGCTTTATGTGAGTGCATTACATGTAGATAAACCCATGTTTGCAAATATACAAATTGAAGACAGCGTGCTGCTCTGCGCTGGCTCACACTCACCTGAGATGCTGCCTTCTCAAAGCCATCAGGGTTCAGCGAAGGCATGATGTGAATCCGAGTGTTATGGATCAGCTTGACGATGGTCTCGTTCCCTTTTTGGTATTCATTGCACAGGTACTGGGCCAGGAAAATGAGCAGTTCCCGCCCAACAGCCTCATTACCATGCATATTCCCAATGTATTTAAATTCAGGCTCACCTACAAGATAAAAGAGTATAGAGATGTTTTCTATAGCACCCATTAGAAGGCAAATGACATACAGTGCAAAAAAACATTATACATCTACTAGTTATTACACAAAGCTGACAACTTCATTTCCCTCCAGAACTGATGCCGAAGAAATCGACCTTAAATATCAAAATACTCCAAACTCCCCTTCTGTTCTTCTACTTCTCTCTCCCTAGTCACCCACTTCTTATGAACATAATTGTATCTTCCAAATTCATGTGTTGAAACCCTAACTTCCAACGTGACTGTATTTGCACATAAAACCTTTGAGGATTAAGGTTAAATTAGGTCATAGGGGTGGGAACCTAATCCAACAGGAATGGTGTACTTATAAGAGGAGGAGGAGACATCATAAATCCCTCTCATCTCTCCCAGCTGCACGGAGAAAAGGCCCTGTGAGGACACAGGGAGAAGGCAGATGCCCGCGAGCCAGGAGGAGAGGTCTCCTCAGAAACCAACCCTGCTGGCACCTTGATCTTAGACTTTTAGCTTCCAGAACTGAGAGAAAATAAATTTCTGTTGTTTAAGCCACCCAGTCTGTGGTATATTTTTATGGCAGATGGAGCAGACAAATACACCACCGCTTCCCCAATAACTAATAACAATAATACGCTGTGTGCCTCCTATTGGTCAGACACTGAACTTGCATGTTTTCTTATTTAGTCCTCCCCAAACATCTAAAAGTGGATATTATTATCCATCTCTATTTGAAGATGAGCACACTGAAGTTCTGATGGCTTAAGAGGCCTGATCACAGTCCTAAAGCTAGGATTCAAGTACGTATCTTCTCATTTAGTTAGAAGTCTACACTTTATTTTTTTTTTTTTAACCAAAGTGATTAAACTTCTGTGTGATTGAAATCCTAGCACCAATTCTTACTGGCTGGCCTTGAACAACTTACTTCGGCTCTGTGGCTCTGTTTACCCACGTGTAGATCAGATGACAGATTCTACCTCATGAGGTGACTATAAAAACTAAGTGAAATAGTAAGTGTAAATGCTTACAACAGGCCTGGTGAATAACAAGTGCTACGTGTTTGCCATAATTATTTTAATATTATTATTGTGTGACATTATCTTGTCATTGTGAGGTGCTTTGGTACACATCATCTAGTCTTCTCTTGACAACAGTCCACCAAAATGTGGAAGACAGATATCGGATTATCCTTTTGTACAAATGCAGCCCAAAGAGGATGTTTTGCTGAAGGACCCAGAATTCAAACCTAAGTCACAGTGGCCCATTTCTGCTGCTCTCCATTGCCTTTTAGGGGGAGAAATAAAATTGCCGAGCGACCTCAGTGAATCCTGTGGCTCCTCTCCTTTCTGCTTCATCCACTCTCAGCAGTGGAAAAGAGGGCCCCACCTACAAAGCCACTAGGACTGCTCACCTGGGTTTAAAAAAAAAAAGTTGGAAATGCTCAGCTGGCATGGCTCAGTGGTTGAGTGTCGACCTATGAACCAGGAGGTCACAGTTAGATTCCTGGTCAGGGCACATGCCTGGGTTGAGGGCATGTGTAGGGCATGCCGAGGCAGCCGATCAATGATTCTCATTGATGTTCTTCTCTCTCTCTCCCCCTCTCCCTTCCTCTCTGAAATCAATAAAAAAATATATATTTTTTTAAAAAGTTGGAATTATTTTTATCCTGGAAATACATTAGCTAAATGTTCTTTGCACTCCAGTGTTTCTCTTCAGAACGTATAAATCTTTCACCTTTTTACTAAATGTTCTTTGCATCCGATTCCTGAGTGTGTGATTTAAGTGACTGCTCGCCACAGAAAGCCATGCCCTGTGTGACCTCTCAGCCTGAGCTTAAGCTCATCTTCTTCTAAGGATCAGGCGGGAGCAGGGTCAGTGCTATTTATATGCCCTCGTTTTCTACTTTCAGGGAAACTCTAATATAACCACCTCCCTGAGACTTGCCCAGGAGATGTGTGATTTCAAAAGTCCTAAGAACCTTCTTCGTTTCTGTCAAACTCCCGTGCTTTGTACCTTCCCCTGAGTGGGTTGTATTCATCTGACTGGGGCAGGAGAAACTGGAGCAGTCCATTGTGAAAGGAAACAGAGTCCTGGTAGCCTGAGGAACATTACAGCCCGCCTGGCAGTTCTCTGAGAGAACTGCACTGTTGGAGGCATCCTGGCCCTGCTCCCTTACTTCACCCAACACAGCTTTGAAGCTTCGGTCACTCAAAAGAGCTTGGCCCACAACCCATAAGAGTAGATGGGCACACTGCAACTTTCTATTACTTCTCTGGATTAAAAAACAAAACAAAACACACAAAAAACATCTTTAATAGTCACTTAGCCCCCCCTAATGTTTTGTATGGCTGTCACGGTGTGGTCTGCATTTGAATTCGAATGCTGTGGGATTAACTACTGCTCTCCCAGTTCTGCCATAGGCGGTACCACTCCCTAACCTACTTTATTCAATTACGTTGCCAACTCCTGATTTTCTGGTTCAGGAAATTTCCAGTATGGTTTTGCTTCTGTGACTCTCTAGGAAATTGCCCTCAGGAACAAATCTTCCCCAATGCGTCTATTGTATTTGTGAGGAGATAGAAATAATAATGACAATGCTTTAGGCCTAAAAATCCATCAGTTAACTTCTCATTTGCATTTATCATAAAGCCCAAAATTCTCTACAAGATTTTTAACTCCTGCCAAGCCAGTGTGGCTCAGTGGTTGAGCGTCAACCTATGAACCAGGAGGTCATGGTTCAATTCCTGGTCAGGGCACATGCCTGGGTTGCGGGCTCGATCCTCAGTGAGAGGCGTGCAGGAGGCAGCCGATCAATGATTCTCTCTCATCATGGATGTTTCTATCTCTCTCTCCCTCTCCCTTCCTCTCTGAAACCAATAAAAAATATATCCCCCCCCCAAAAAAAATGTTTCAGTCCCACGTGGTCATGTCTGATCCACCTCCCTGCTTCCTCAGGCACCATCCTCCCCTCTCCATCTGTCAGCCACACTTCCTTCGACAACATGATGCGCTCTTGCCTATGAGCTCTTCTCACACACACATCTTGACCTCACATGCTTCTGATCATGGATAAATATGGTTTTCTCAGAGTATGTTTAGTCTAACCCCACTTCCTTTGTTATTTTCAGTATCTCAGTTTGAAAATATACATTAATCAGTGTGGTTGCTTGTTTAATTCCCTATCCCAAGACTGTATGGTCTACAGAGATGGTATCTATTTTAGGTCCCTAGTGTATCATCCATGCCCAGCGTAGAGTTGGAAACATAGTAAGAGCGCAAAAAGTAGCAATTAAATAAATTCATGAGTCAAAGAGTAAATGTATGGTCTTGTTTTTAATCCCATCCTCCCAACAGCCTGACAGACAGTACAGCACGCCCTTGGGATGCAGGTGCAGCCCCGGTGCCTGAACACCTTTCTGGAACAGGGAAGGGCATAAATGAATAACTAAAAGGGACTTGAGTTAGTGTCAGGAAGCCCGTACCCGGGCGGAATATTGAGAGGACTCGGTGCTTGTTGATGTATCCGACATTCTCAGGCAGGGCTGGGAATCCTTCTTTGGGAATGAAGGCAGCAGTGTTGTGAACAGCTGATTCGCCAGGAACAAGATTAATCTCCATGGTCACGAGAGAACCACAAAACCTCTCTAGGCAAGCAGCTCCCTAGGCTATTTTTGTTGTGAAGCCTACACAAAGGGTTCCGCAGAGACTGCCTTCAGAAAATGACATAAAATTGAAGGCTTTGAACTTGAAATAAGCCTCCCTGTGTCCATTTAACTTCAATTTACTTAACAAAGGAGTGACAGCTTTTCATCAACACTTAATTTTCTTTCCTGGGGCTATATAAATAGAGTTTACAACAGGTTGTTAAATGGACGACAGCAGGCATGCCTGTTTACAAAGTCTGCAGAGAGCAAATCCAGGTGAGCAGGTAGGTCATTCCTTGCGGATGCGGTGGGTAATGCGCACGTACTGGCTCATCTCTCTCCTAGCAACGGAAGAAAAGGCATTGAGGACTATTTGTCAGTACGTTTAAGGATGGTTGTTTTTACACTCATCTTACTTTCCTTACTCACTAATTCATTTTCCTTTTTACACAGTAGTTACCCTGAGTTCCTGATCCTGCAACTGAGGAATCATAGTATTTGCAAAGGGTGCATAGTGTGGACTCAGAAAGTAGTTTTCCTGTTGCATCAATTTTTCCACAACTTAGTGTAACTACCCAGTTTCCAGTCACTTCCCAGGGCACACAATCTATCAAACCATTGCTAAATGATAACTCACATCCCGAGTCCTGCCTGGGTGGGCCGAGTGCCTATCTTTTTCATCTGTATCACAGAATAATTAATGTACCTGACTGGATTTGTATTCTCATTAGAACAAGATAAGAATAACCTACAAGTTTTTAAAAATAAGCTCCAAAATTTTACTGAAGTCAGAGGTAATTCAATAAATTCCAAACCAGAGCAGGCAAATGATTTTCATTTCTATACTTGTAACTCTTAATTGGTCCCAACTATGTACAACTAAATCAGTAAAAACAAACAAACAACAAAAAATAACCCTTAAGGAAATTACACCCCCAGAAACCCACACCTCTTAGGCTTAGCATGTAGGTGAAGTCTGAAGCTGACTGGTAGCTTAGTAAAGCCCCCAAATGGTATGAATTAACGGCTTTAAAGTGACCAGAGTCCCTAAAGCAGAAAGCCACAGGCCCAATAGGCTGAGCCTAGAAAAAACTGTCAAGTAAAGGAGTAAAAGTAAAAAGTAATACTGTCTGCCTTTCCCATAAAAAGGAAAATTTTCTTTTACTCCTTTATTTCATCCAATAGTCAGCCCGTCTGTCTCTTAAATATTTTCTTGTCTTGGAAGCAGCTGACTGGCTGACCATTAGGTAGCATTATTGTTTAAGTTCCCTTTCAAATCTTAGAGTCGCCCTAACCGGTTTGGCTCAGTGGATAGAGCGTCGGCCTGCGGACTGAAGGGTCCCAGGTTCG